ATGGCCATCCAGCCTCTGCTTCAAAGCCTCCAAAGAAGGAGCCTCCACCACACTCCGGGGCACAGAGTTCCACTGTTGAACAGCTCTCACAGTCAGGAAATTCTTCCTAATGTTCAGATGGAATCATCTTTCTTGTAGTTTGAAGCCAATCAGTCCAATTGCGGTCCACTAAAACCTTATCTTCAGTAAATCAGTCTATTCTACAAATGCTTGATCCTACAGCCAGGATTTGAGTTTCTTCCAGAAGGTCAGGAGGGATGGGACAGATCTCATCTCGTTAAGGAGGGAGTTCCACAGCTGAGGGGCCACCACAGAGAAGGCCCTGTCTCTTGTCCCCACCAAATGCAACTGCCGTGATGGTGGGACCAAGAGCAGGGCCTCCCCGGATTATCTTAAGGTCCTTAGTGGTTTGTAGAGGGAGATACGTTAGGACAGGTAAAACTGGGTCAGAACCGTATAGGGCCATCCCCTTCTTACAAGCAAGAAGACACCATCCAAGCCCTCCTGATAGATGGCCATCCAGACTTAAAACCCTCAGAGAAGGGGATCCTATCAAACTCACAGGCAGCAGAACAATCCACTCTTTGAACAGCTCTTTCCTACCTTATGTTCATGTGGAATCTTTTTTTCCTGCAATCTTAATCTATGGCTCCATTGAGTCCTAGTCTCCAAAGCAGCAGAAAATAAGCGTAATATGACCTCCTTTCAAATACTTAAAAGATCTTTGGAGGCTTTTAAACAGTGGGAAATAAGGGAAGGAGAGAAAGAGGGAGGGAAGGTTGGCCACAGCAACACGTGGCAGGTACAGCTAGTTCATTAATATATCCTTTTTTAAAAAATGAAAACAAGCTGTGAATTGGATTTCTGTTATTTCCACCTTCTCTTTCATTTTTGTATTTATGGCCCAGAGGGGCAGAATGGTCCCCTGGACCCACATACATTGCCCATTTTCCCCTAAGAAAAGGGAAAATGGAGACAGATAGATGTTGTTTCCTGAATGAAGAAATCTCTCTGCGCAAACTTTGCTTGGGAGCTTGACTAGCTGGATGGCACTGGCACCCCCCCCCCCCCAAATCCTGAGCATCCAGTGTGTTGTGAAAGCCCTGCTTTGACTGTCTTGAATCCCATCCGTCTTCATATTTTTAAAAAACTGCATTTTGTGAGGGAAGAAGATCATACAGAATATATTCTTCCTTGTTTTTCTCTCCCTCTCTGCCTCTCCCCCAGACTTTGTCTTTCCCGGGAAAGGCGGCCCTACGCCTGTTCCGAAATACAGTCCCCTTTCAACCGCTGGAGTCTGAAATGTCTCTGTTTGGGCCCTGTGTTCTGAACAGCCCCACACACCCTCTGGGATAAAGGAGCCTGTCACTGCTTTCTCTCTTTCCGAGCCCCAGCTGGGGAGGACCAGGCGGGCGCAGAAGCCACAAAGGCAGGCTCAAAAACCTCAAAAATCGGGAGGAGGTTGAATGCTGGGTTCCTTCTAGTTTATTTCTCTTCTATTTGACCCCCAGCAGACAGAGCCAGCATCAAATCACCTTTGATTTTCAGACCATTTTTGCCCCCAAACATTGGAAGTGAATTATTATTATTTATACATAACAACACAGCACACATGCATATTAGGTCCAAGTGTCTGGGATTCGTCCCTGAATATCAGGCTCTCCCCAAGGGCCTTATTATTATTATTATTATTATTATTATTATTATTATGTTGTTGTTGTTGTTGTTGTTGTTGTTGTTGTTTATGTTTATTTATCCCCCACTTTTTCTTTCCACAAAAGAGACTCAAAGCAGCCAAGAAACATCAACACCTACCTATAGAGCAACTAGCATATACAGGCAGTCTACAGTATTTTTATAAGTGTTGCCTTTGGGTTGATATGGGCGGGATAGAAATAGCATAAATAAATAAGTGTCTTATTTAACTAACTACATGAGTTTTATTACGTTGTTTCAAGCTTTGTTGTCTGGTTCGGTATGGTGATATGGCCTAAGGGCTAATCAATATAATTTATTATATTAAACTCATTTATTTATTTATTTATGACATTTATATGCCGCCCTTCTCGCCCTGAAGGGGACTCAGAGTGGCTTACAGGATACACACACACACACACACACAATATATTATATTATTAGCATAGTACAATATCAGTATTAAATATTACTATATTGTACTATACCATTATATTGTAATATTATTAGTAATATTACATGTAATATAAATATATAATAATATATTAGTAGTAGTAGTAGTATTATATTGCATTACATTACAATATTGTAAATATTATATGTATATATGTATATATGTAATATTATATTATATTATATTATAATACAGGCAGTCCGCAGGTTATGAACAAGACAAGCTCTGTAGGTTTGATCTTAAACTGAATTTGTATGTAAGTCAAAACAAGTACATTATTTAAGTGTAATTCCAGCCAAATATATAAATGTATTTAGTTTTGGATAGCATAGGGAAGGATTAACACCCCTGTTAGTTTGGGTCAGAAAATTTCACTAAATTTTCTGTCCCTTGTGGAAACAAGGATTGGCGGGAAAGCTTCAGTGAGATACTTTTTTCCCATGATAATAACTCTTTCGGGAGTGCATTTCCCTTCCGAGGAGTAGATTTCTCTCACTTTTTTCGTATTTCACCCCCATTTGTAAGTAGGAGTCGGGTGTAAGTCAGATGTTTGTAACAGGAGGACTGCCTGTATATCTGGTGTTGGCTGGGTATTATTATTATTATTACTATATTTATACCTCGCTTGATGTCTCCCAAAGGAGACTCAAGACAGAAGGCAAAATATATGAAGAATGAAGATGGACTGGATGTAGACATTGATCAAAGCTGATTGTATTTCCAAAAATATGTTTTCTTAAGTCTTTGAAGATGTACATAATTCCCCGGCAGTGTATGTATGTATGTACGTATGTATGTATTTATTGAGAACCAGCAGCTCGGTTTCCTCACCAAAACTCCCAGCTTTGCAAATTCATCCATAGCTGCAAAACATTTCCCTTCTGATCTCTTTTTTGAGTTTATTTTTTTTTTAATGCAACGATTTGTATTTTTGTCAGATGAATCTGCCTTCTCCCTTGTGCGGGACTGGATGTACCCTGCCTTGGCACAGATGTCCAGGCTTCCTGTCGGCAAGGGAAGGAAGCAGCTGTCTTCCTGGACGCAGGGCCACCCTCCTGGACCTTTCACCTTCTTGTCCAGGATGAGCCTTGGATTGGGGTGGCCTTCGTGGGGAGAGGAATGGGTCCAAGGGAATGGGGTGGAAGGGGGGAAAGGCCGAGGAAAGGGACTCATTTTGGAGCAGCAGGCTATAAGTTCTTCTCTGAAGGGTTTACAGCAGGCATGGGCCAACTTTGGCCCTCCCTCCAGGTGTTTTGGACTTCAACTCTCACAATTCCTAACAGCCTACCGGCTGTTAGGAATTGTGGGAGTTGAAGTCCAAAACACCTGGAGGGAGGGCCAAAGTTGGCCCATGCCTGGCTTATAATATGTTTTTTCTCCAGATTTTGAAAACCCTCTATTTTTGTATATCCACATGTTCTCGGAGATGTGACCCAGGTTAAACACAGAATTCAGATATGTTTCCTATATCATAGAATCAAAGAGTTGGAAGAGACCTCATGGGCCATCCAGTCCAACCCCATTCTGCCAAGAAGCAGGAATATTGCATTCAAAGCACTGACAGATGGCCATCCAGCCTCTGTTTAAAAGCTTCCAAAGAAGGAGCCTCCACCACACTCCGGGGCAGAGAGTTCCACTGCTGAACAGCTCTCACAGTCAGGAGGTTCTTCCTCATGGCTTCCTCTCACATATTTATACATGGCTATCATATCTCCTCTCAGCCTTCTCTTCTCAGGCTAAACATGCCCAGCTCCTTAAGCCGCTCTTCATAGGGCTTGTTCTCCAGACCCTTGATCATTTTAGTCACCCTCCTCTGGACACATTCCAGCTTGTCAATATCTCTCTTGAATTGTGGTGCCCAGAATTGGACACAATATTCCAGGTGTGGTCTAACCAAAGCGGAATAGAGCATGGGGAGCATGACTTCCCTAGATCTAGACACTATGCTCCTATTGATGCAGGCCAAAATCCCATTGGCTTTTTTTGCCGCCACACCATATACATGATATACACATAGAATCATAGAATTATAGAGTTGGAAGAGACCTCATGGGCCATCCAGTCCAACCCCCTGCCGAGAAGCAGAAAAATTCAATTCAAAGCACCCTCGACAGATGACCATCCAGCCTCTGTTTCAAAGCCTCCAAAGAAGGAGCCTCCACCACACTCCAGGGCAGAGAGTTCCACTGCTGAACAGCTCTGACATTCAAGAAATTCTTCCTAATGTCAGATGGAATCTCCTTTGTTGTAGTTTGAAGCCATTGCTCCATTGTGTCCTAGTCTCCAGGGCAGCAGAAAACAAGCTTGCTCCTTCCTCCCTATGACTTCCCCTCACATATTAATACATGGCCCTCATCATGTCTCCTCTCAGCCTTCTCTTCTTCAGGCTAAACATACCCAGCTCCTTAAGCCGCTCCTCATATGGCTTGTTCTCCAGACCCTTGATCATTTTTGTCACCCTCCTCTGGACACATTCCAGCTTGTCAATATCTCTCTTCAACATCTCTCTTCCACAACATAGTGTGGAAGTAATTGTACGCACAATATTTCTTAATAGCTTTGTTTATCAGACAAACTTTGTGCACATTGAACCATAAGAAAGAAAAGGTGTTGTTTTCTCAGCTACCCCTGTGAACAATTTTGAAGTGTTTTGGCCTTCAGAATCCCCGATAAGGGATGCTCAACCTGTTTATGTATTCCTGAGCGCATTTATTGTCTGTGGGGCTGCTTTAAAAGCTGCAGGACTGGTTTTGTATGGCAATGTTACTGAATTGCACTCTCTTTGTTTAACGTGGCATCCCACATTCCCTTCCATTTGGCTGAAGTCTGTTGTTTTGTTGTTGTTTTTTAGGCCCGAAACGTGCACTCCGGAGAGATGGCTGCAGTGAAAATTATCAAGTTGGAACCTGGTGAGTAGTCCTTTGCTTTGAAATGCGCCTGTGATGGATTTGTCCCGTTTACCAATCAACTTGCTATGTCCTGAGCCTCCTTGGGACCCATACTTCTAGAAAGGAGGGATGGAGATGAAATGAAAGAACTCAGCTGTGCAGTCAGCTCTCCACATTTGCTGGATTTAGGGACACCCAAGCCCCTTTATTAATGACCTAAATGAAGGGTTAGAAGGCGTGATCATCAAGTTTGCAGACGACACCAAATTGCGAGGGAGAGCCAATACTCCAGAAGACAGGAAACAATCTTCACAGATTAGAGAGATGAATGGCCAAAACTAACAAAATGAAGTTCAACACGGACAAATGCAAGATACCCCACTTAGGCAGAAAAAATGAAATGCAAAGAGACTGAATGAGGGACGATGCCTGGCTCAACAGCAGGACGTGTGAAAAATATCTTGGAGTCCTTGTGGGGAGGAAGGGACAACCTTTACCTACCCCTATCCTATCCCCATCAAACCCCCTACCCCAATGTAAAGGTAAAGGTAAAGGTAGTCCCCTGACATTAAGTCCAGTCATGTCTGACTCTGGGGTTTGGTGCTCATCTCCATTTCTAAGCCGAAGAGCCAGCGTTGTCCGTAGACATCTCCAAGGTCATGTGGCTGGCATGACTGCATGGAGCGCCGTTACCTTCCCGCCGGAGCGGTACCTATTGATCTACTCACATTTGCATGTTTTCGAACTGCTAGGTTGGCAGAAGCTAGGGCTGACAGCGGAAGCTCACGCCGTTCCCCGTGTATCCCCAATGTATCAACTCTAATTTTATGTATACTCACAGAAAACTCTTATAATAAAGATGATTTTAAAAAAGAAAGCATGCAAATGTGAGTAGATCAGTAGGTACCGCTTCTGTGGAAAGGTAACAGCGCTCCATGCTATCATGCAAGTCACATGACCTTGGTGGTGTTTACAGACAGTGCCGGCTCTTCGGCTTAAAAATGGATTTGAGCAACATCCCCAGAGTCAGACATTACTGGAGTTCATGTCAGGGGAAAAACCTTTACCTTTACCTTAGTGCTACTACAAACATAAAATTATACAAGCATTCAAAATATTTTCCATAGGTAACACATGTTACATCTCTCTCCCTCCCTCCTCCCCCTGGGAACAGTTTCCTAATTTTGCTGTACTTTATTATGATTGTTCGATCGTGAGGATAGTCTTGTTTAATTCCTTATCTTTCTTCTTTATTCTGGAAATGAGACCTTTCCATTTTGCCTCCCAGGTCTTTCTGATTTGGCCCTTCCTGTAATCACTTTTCCTTTTGCTAATAGGAAGTAGTCAGCTAAATATTTGTACCGTTTTTATACCCCATTTCTTTTGGTCCTTCCAGCCTAAAGCGACCGAGGCTTTAATTGCATCGAACGTGTTTTATTCTTCCCTCCCATTCTTTCAATCTCCCATCACCCTCAATTTTCTGGAGGAAAAATTGAGTCCTGTCCCAATCTATTTTCGCTCCTCCAATTACTTCTTAATTATTTTATGGAACTTTTGTATTTTTTTCACAATCCCACCGTAGGTAAAGTTAAAGGTTTTCCCCTGACATTAAGTCCAGTCGTGTCTGACTCTGGGGGTTGGTGCCCATCTCCATGTCTAAGCCAAAGAGCCAGCGTTGTCTGTAGACACCTCCAAGGTCATGTGGCTGGTATGACTGCTTGGAGTGCTGTTACCTTCCTGCCAGAGTGGTGTACCTATTGATCTACTCACATTTGCATGCTTTCAAACTGCTAGGTTGGCAGAAGCTGGGGATGACAGTGGAAGCTCATGCCGCTCCCTGGATTCAAACCTGTGACCTTTCAGTCAACATGTTTAGAAGCTCAATGGTTTAACCCACTGCGCCACTGGGGATCCTCAATCCTGCCATATGTGGGTGTATGTTAAAGCCAGGTCTTTACCATCCTTCATCATCCTTTTAATATTGCCAGGAAGGGAGTTCCATAACCAGGGGGCAATCACTGAGAAGGCCCTGTCTCTCATTCCTGCCAAATGTGCCTGTGATGATGGCGGGGAGCAGGGCCTCCCCAGAAGATCTTAGTTTCCGCAGTGGTTCGTAAAGGGAGATGTGTTCAGACAGGTAAATTGGGCCTGGGATTCATGTACAAAATAATTATGGGATCACCTTCCTTAGAATCAATAGTTCATAGTCCAACGCATCTCTCTGTTTTGAGTGTCTAATAGGGTCTCTGTAGTCTGTTTCAACTAGCTTCTAAAAGCATACATCTGTTTCTACTGAATTATGTGGAAAACTGTTTCTAAAATGGAGTCTGAGCTCTGAACAAGCCCAGACGTGATCACATGGTCTGCAGTTCCTCCCACAACAAAGAGTTAAAGTAAAATTGTATACCAATGCACTAATATACAATATAGTAAGCAATTGTATACATAACAAATAACATGTGGAGGCTTGAGAGGGTTGCTAACTCCAACAGAAACATCAGGAGAAAGTGCTGCTAGAACACATTGACCGTACAGCCTGGAAACCACACACCCCTCCCTTATTTGGTTATTTAAATTTTATTCACCTTTCCTCCAATTGTGGGACTCAAGGCACTTGGAAATGCTTAAAAGTCCAGATTGAAAACCATACAGGATTTAGAAACAGTTAAACAATCCATAGAGTTAAAGGTGTGAGCGTTATATAAAAACCACGTGAGGAGACAACGTTTGCCAGGTGGAAATGGTTCCTCCTGCTGCAGCTCTCCTGCTCAGCAACCTTCTGTGGGAGTATTTCCTTTTCTCTTTTCCAGGGTGGAGCCCTCCCTTTCTGCAGTGATAGCCAATGCCAGTTCCCAATGCGGTTTGGACCGCTGCAGGCGGCTGCTCTCCTCGCAGTGCTGTGTTGGCCAGGTCCGCACGGAAGGCCTCTTTTTGAAAGCCTCCCAAGGGAGCTTTTCTATGTCCTGAAACCATTCACTGTGCCTTTGAGGCTTGGTGCACGTTCTGCAGCAACAGAGTGAGTGCACCCCTCGCTCGGAGCAGAACTTTCAAAGTTTTAGAAACTCTATAGATAGAAGTCAAAGTATATATTTATGTATGTTTGTTGGTCTGTTTGTACCACAAAGGCTCCTACATGGTGTGATGAATCTGAACCAAGCTCATCATCTAACCTAGAACAACTTAAGGGCTTGAACTAAAGAAGAGCCAGAGCAGAAGGAAAGCAAAGGAACAAAGTGAATTGGGAGTTGCTGGGTGACATGTATGGGAGAAGGAGACGAAAGAAAGAAAGAGAGAGAGAAGGGAAAGAAAGGGAAGAAAAAGGAAGGAAAGGAATGAGGGAAGGGGAGGGAAAGAAAGTAAGGGAAGGGAATAAAGATGGGACAAAGAAAAGGAAGAAAGGAAGAGAAAAAGAAGGGAAAGAAAGGAATGGGAAGGAAAAAGAAGGAAAGGAATGAGGGAAGGGGAGGGGAGGAAAGTAAGGGAAGGGAATAAAGATAGAATAAGGAAAAAGAAGAAAAAGAAGGGAAAGAAAGAATGGGAATGAAAAGGAAGGAAAGCAACGAGGGAAGGGGAGAGGAGGAAAGTAAGGGAAGGGAATAAAGATAGAATAAAGAAAAGGAAGAAAGGAAGAGAAAAAGAAGGGAAAGAAAGGAATGGGAAGGAAAAGATAGGAAAGGAATGAGGGGAAGGGAGGAAAATAAGGGAAGGGAATAAAGAAAGGAGAAGGAAGAAAGGAAGGGAAAGGAAAGGAAAGAAGAGAGGAATAGAGGAAGAAGGTATATGAGGGAAACTGAAGAAGGAAAAAAAGAGCCACAAAGAAATGCACACCTGGCCAACTTTGGGTATTTATGCTAGTAAAACTATATATACAAAAGAACCCCTCATAATCAAAGCAAAGGCCTCAATGTTTGGATCGCATAGCAGTCCCGTATACTACCTTCCTCCCAAACTGGTGTCAAACTGCATTAATTCTGCAGTGCAGGTGCACCCCTAGAGTGGTTATATTACTAAAATCTGGAGAAATGGAACCAGAAATGAAGGGCCAATTGTGTTATAGATTCCACATAAATGTTCAGAAGAACTTCCAGATAGTCAGAGCTGTTTGGCAATGGAATAGGGAATGGAGTTACCTTGGAATCCAATGGAGTTTCCTTCTCTGGGGTTTTTAAAGCAGGGGCTGGATGGCCATCTGTCGGGAGGGCTTTGATTGTGTCTTACTGCATGGAAGAAGGGGGTTGGATTGGATAGCCCTGTGGGTATCTTCTAATTCTATGATTATATTGCCTGCTTCCCAACACGTTGTTGTTTTTGTTGTTATCATTTATATCCCACTTTCCTCTCCTAAAGGAAACTCAGTACAAGCAAACACATGCACCCCCTTTTGCTTGCTATCAAACTCACTTTCCTTTTGTTATATTTGAGCTTTGTGGCTTTTGCTTTTGTTCAGCTGAAGCACTCTGGCTGCTATTAATACACTTCTCGGCCCCAAACTGCTTCCGGGGCTGAGTGGGAAGAATGGGTTTCTCAGCTTCTGTGCTTCGTTGTGGACTGCATGGAGGACCGAAGCAGGAGGCAAGGGCAGGCGGAACGAAAAAAGGCCTGATCCTCACCCACAAAACAACCCCACTGCTTGCTTCTCTCTCACTCCTTCACATGTGGGTTTGAGAATTGTGGTTTACAGGGTTTGCGGCTTCCAGCAGAGCTGAGCACCCTTTCCTTCTCAGAAGCCTCTTTGTGTGTGTGACTGTGTTTAAGAGACATATGTCTGCATAAGACAAACAGAGCCAACATAACTGCCTCCTAAGTTATTACACTATTGAAAAAAAAATCTGTTCCTGGTTTGAAAGTGTCATTTCCTGTTTAATTGGGCAGTACTTAATTTGAAAGTAGTTGTCCTACTCCAGAAACTTTATTTTTCTGAAAGTGTCATTTCCTGTTTAATTGGGCAGTACTTAATTTGAAAGTAGTTGTCCTACTCCAGAAACTTTATTTTTCTGGCTGCCACAAACTTGGTTGAGACT